TCGGCTGCTGAGGCGATACTGGGGTGACTTGGCTCATGTGCTGACAGAGAGCGCTTTGCATCCCCACTGTTGCATGCGTGCCATAGGTTTGCCACCACTGCCCTAGGGTTTCATCCCGCCATTCACAAATAATTGGACACATTCTTCAAACAAACACCTCTTGGGGAAATGTCATGAAAGAGTGACTCTGCTTGGCTCAGTATAGTTCAGAACCAGTTTGGTTGTTTTGAGTTTTGTCAGAGAGCATTTGGAGAGAGCATTCATGGTTTCCTCCATCCGCTGAGCATTCTTTCCTGTCTTGCAACATTTGTACCTGTGCAGCAAAGGAGTCCTCTACACCTGTGCGTTATCATATTGTTCTGTGGGAACTGGGGCTCTTGTCAGCAGCCATAGTGGAGAGGTAGCAGGAAAATGAGAGTGCAGGAAGCAGAGTTAGCCCATTGGTCCATTTAGCCATTGTTTGTGCTTACTGGTTTCAGACAGGGATCTTTCCTCTGGAGATGCCAGGGATGCCAGCATGGGACCTTCTGCATACAGATGACTGAGCTGCAGCCTCTTCCTGCAGTGGTCTGTCTTAAGCAGCATCCCAGCCATCTCAGATCTTCCTGACGGTCCTTCCTGCTCCCTGGACAGGCCGCTCTAACAGCCTGCCCTAACCTGGTGCTCTGCAGATGCTTGAGTACAATGCCTGTTTATCCAGATCAGTTGGATCAGCGGTCATGCTGGATAGGGATGATAGGAACGGTAGTCAAACCTATTTGTCAAGTGCCAGGTTGGGAAGGGCTGCGGCTGGGTTGGCACACATGCAAGGTAGGATGAACAATTGGTTACATCTGAGACGGACTTTGTGTGGTCGGAGGGCTTTCCAGAGTGCTACAAACTGAAGAATAATCTTGGCTAAAGCCAAGGAGCAACCTGAGAGATGGCCCAAAACGTAGCTTTGTATTTACAAGTTCTGTGGTTCTTGTCTTGTCTTATTCCTAGATAAAATTGGGGTGGACGATTTCAAACCACCTGGGGGACAATTCCCCTCCCAAGGCTTGTTGTGGGCCATGTTCTCCTTGCCATCACACTGCAAAAAATCAGGGAGAAGGTGTAAAAACAAGCCAAAATTGTCTGCGTTAGCTTCTGTAACTGCTATGCAGCCTTAGAATACATTTGCCCAAACCTCTGGATGACCTCTCCAGCGATTCCATGTAGATGTTGAATAGCATGGGTGATAATATGGAACCCTGCAAAACTCCATGGCATAATTGTCATGGCACAGAGCCATCCCCCAGTACCACCTTCTGGAATTGGCCAGTCAAGAAGGAGCAAAGCCACTGCAGAGCAGTGCCTCCAACCCCCACCTCAGCCAACCAGTAACTTGGTCAGTTTTAAGAGGTAAGTAGGCAAATCCATGAGCTACAGCCCATGGAGGTGTCATATTGACTCCCCTGTCAAGGGGCAGCATGGCTCTGTATAGCAATTGCTGAAGAACATGGGTGGGAGGTGCTAGATTGCCTATGTTCTCCATGTAGGTTTCCCATTGGCTTCTGGTTGGCCGCAGTGTGCGTCAAATGCCAGAGCTGATAGGCCTTTGGTCTGATCCAGCAGGACTCTGCTTTCATTCTTATGCTGGCTCCTATGACATCCCTGAAAGACTCCTCTGAATTTTTCCCCGTCTATCCATATCCAGCTATTTTTTAACTAATTCCCCATCCTTCCTTCATCTGTTTTCCAAGGGACATCCTTGTGGCAAAGAAGCACACAGCCCCTTCTGCATTTTATTTAAAAAATAAACTGTCCATTCTGCGCATAGCAAGGCCATTGCTACTAAGGGAAATGTGGGCTACCTTAATTGAAATGTGCTTTTGATAGGAAAAATCTCTAAAGTCTAATCGACTTCACTAGATCAGTGTAATTTCTTTGGAGTTCATGCACTTTCTGTCCAAACCTTTTTCAACCTAAGCTTCCAGATATTTTGGACTTCAACTCACATTGGCCCCTGGCAGCATGGCCAGTGTCTAGAAATGATGGGAAATGTAGTCCAGAACATCAAGCGGGTACCAGGTTGCGGAAAGCTGGTTTCTCTGTTGGCACTGAAGGTACGTTTGAAAACAATTCAACTTCCTTGGAGATTTCCTTTAATTTGATTAGTTCAAATATGTAGCTATGTGGGATGAAAAGTGATGATGAGATCTTAATCTGTCTGGTAAATTGGAATTCCCTTCAAGGGAGGGGGAAAAGCCAGTCTCAGGGATAATACCCAACTGAAATGGAACAGTTACCAGCCATTTCTGCTAAAAGAAGCCTGCTTACTGCGCCATCTAGTGTTTAGCAAAAACATCTTCAGGTTGGTCCACCAGTGGCCCAGGTTTTAACAAAAGCCATCAATTGTATGGTTAACACTGCTAATCCTTATTCCTTGGAAGAATAACTGATATTAACTTTAGTCTTAAATTGTATTCAGAGTTGAAAATGAATTCGTTCAATTTGAATTTAAATCTGAATTTTCCTGATTTCACACTTTCAGAGCAAAGCATAAACCACAATTCCATTTTCTTTTGGAATTTGCAGATCTCCAGATTTTCCACTCCAAAGATATTTTCAAAATATTAGGGAATAGTGCACACGAAAACATTGCAAATAATGTTTAATATTGGATTATTTTAGGAAATTTGCTTAAAATGTTTAAATTCAGTAGAAGTAAGTTAAAATGCACAAATTGGGGGAAATGCACAGAAAAAATGCAGATGAAATGAATTTAAGACTGCAACAGTTCTCAAAGTTAAGAACAACTTAACATTTAATATGTCATAATTTTCCTATTTTCCCTTTTGAAGCTTCAATATCCTGGTCATATCTCACCCATGTAAGGATTGGCAAGCTGCACAGGATGTCTGCTATAGGGTAAAGTTGTTCTAGAGTGAAGAATAAGTCAGGGAGAGAATCCATTTTAGTTTATTACTGTCACATAAAAGGACTTGTATGCTGAATTGCTTCTTGCTCCACAGTTGCTGGGCTCTTGATGACCAAAAGGTTTATCAATCTTGGTTCACATGGACACAGTACAGGGTCTGGACTTCAGTGGTTACCTTGGAGTCTGAACTTGAACCAGAAGAAGAGGTGGGGTTGACATTCTTAAGGCTAGCAGACTCAACAATTAGTCAAGAGGCCAGTGAGAACCCAATTACCTTGGGTCTGGAGAGGTGAACGCTGTTGAACAGGCAGAGCCAGAGGGAGGTGGAGGTGATTTGATCAGCCTTATTATCCAACATCTTATCATCCATCATTTCTTGGATACCATGCTGCAACTCAAGTTCCCAGTTTTTGGATCACCTTAGACCCTTGTTTATGGGGCAGAGGGGCCATTCAATCTCCAGCATCTCCAAGTAGGGCAGGAACTTCCTGCCAGAAACCCTGGAGAAGCACTGTCATGCAGTGTCAATACTATTGGCTAGATGAATCAATAGTCTCAGCTCAGCAAAAGGCTGGCAAAAGGCTGTGTTCTTATGACCCAGACCTGATGCAGCTTTATTACTTGGCTAATGTGTGATCAACGGCAGTCCGAAGGTCAGGGCTGCATATGTAGGCATGTCAGGTTCCTTCTACGTAGAGGGGGGCCTTGCATGTGTCTCTCCATGCTTTCATAGACCACCTTTGGACTGATGCTGGTCATGGCTCACCTAGAATCTGTGGCTGACATATCCTCCTATATTTTGGAGGCAAGGCTAGACTGAGAGTTTCTGATGGACCTTCCTATACCATGTACCTGAACAAGGCTTTTGACAGAAGCAAAAGAACAACAAGGACACCCTAAGCAGAGTTTCTTCTTCAAAACAAACTGTACTACCCTCAAAGGGGGGAAATAAGCACAAAGTGAGTTTTCTCAGTTTTGGAAAAGTCATGACTTTCCCTCTAACCATATAGCTACTTTGATATATCTAAAAGATGCAGGAAATGGGAAATGGGATATGAATAAATAGACAGGAAAATAAAGATTATATGGAGGAAGGGACAAGTTTAGGGTTACAAATGGAAAATGGTATCTGCTCTTCAATTCAGGGTAAAATAAAATAGTGTCATAATATTTCACACACTGTATTGGTGCCTATACTTTAAAGGTGAAAGAACTTCATTTGAAGTTGTCCCAATCTTTCACTGAAAGTGAGAATGATATAGCAGTTTCATCACATATAGGTAAGAAGGATTTTGCAAAAACCTTATCGCCTCTCACCAGTTTCACTGGAATTATAATTATCAGAAGCAGCCAGGTTCAAAAGCCAGTTTTCTTTCTCTCCCCCATCCCCGCTTTAAAAGGTGTTGTTCACCTTCCTTCTCCAGTTTTTCATGTGGCCCTGCTCATGGATACCTGAAGATTATGTTCACAGATGGAACTTCCCCCCTTTCATTTAACGGATTGCCACCTCCAGGTCACCTGCTGGCTCTTACCCATGTCTCTCTTGTGGAAAGAATCCTTTTCCCTCTTCCCAGTCACCTCTGTATTTTTTCCAACTACTAGCACACCAAATGGAGGACTAGCTTCAGTGACTAGTTCCACTGAAGAAACTGGAGCTGCTTACAGTAGAGGAAACTTTTTCTGACATTATTTGAAGGAGTAGATCTTCAAAATAAAAACTAAGGACATAAATCTCCTGAACATCATCTGGGAGGCCATACGGTTCTTTGAAGTCCCAGCTCCAAGTTCTTATGATGTGGGAGCTGAGACTCCGAAGATCAAGCTTCCTCCTTGCCACTCATAGTCATCAAAGGGAGAACTGTGCCTGCTGATGGCCTCAGCTGATCCCACAGCACCGCAGCCTCCTCCCCTTCTCCCCTCTCCCCCGAGTGCTAAACCTAGAGGGCCATCTAGAGAAAATGCAAGGTATGTGACATGGTAGTAGCGAAGCACTGTATGCTCGAAAGCCCCCAAGATCACCCATCATGGGGGAGACTGAACTGAATCTCAAATTTGGTGTCAAGAAAAACTGAATTGTCTACACGAGTAAGCTGTAAAAGCTTTTTAAAAACTGTATTTCACTTCTCTGACACTATTCCACCTTTGTCACCAAAAGGTAATCAGGAGTCCTCTCATTGCACTGACCACTTGGATTACTGTGCAACTTAGAGATTTTATTTATTTACAAAATTTATATATCACTTTATAACTAAAAAAAATTCCTGAGTGGAGAACTGTAAAGAAAAATATAATCAAAATACATAGGATAACAATGTTTAAGTTATACCAATAACTTGTTATACCAATGCAACCATGGCTGCTCATTCAGGATAGGCTTATTTAAGTAAAAATGTCTTGGTGCTGAAGCACAAAGCAACATTTGTTGCTTCTTGACAACTGGATGGGAATTCCACACAGGGGGAGCCAGGGCACTGTGCTGAGAGTCCTGTAGATGGACTTAGGTCCATGTGAGATCAGCAGGAGTGCCTCTTCTGATGACCTAAGTGACTGAGCAGGATGATAACAGAGGAGGTGCTCTCTCAAATAGGCGATGAGAGAGGAGATGAGTTCCTCTGTTTTGATCCACTACAGATCTTCTGGCTTTCTCTGCCAAGCATTCCATCATGCTGAATTCCACTTCAAGGAAAATTTGTAAAACTATTCCTGAAATGGAATTGTGTCCAGAACAGGATAACAAACAGATGAATGGCTTGGAGAATATGTTTTACAAAGTTGAAGGACTTGGTTATGTTAGACCCGAAGAAGAAATTGTGAAGGGGCAATAAATAACAAACAAAAGATGTACATTAATGAGCTCCTCAGCAGTGGAATAGCCTGCTTCAGAAAGTAGTGGACTCTTCTTTGTTAAAGGATTTTAAAGAGAAGCCACATAACCACCTGTTAGGGATGCTGTAACAATAGATTTCCTGCACTGTCAGTAGGATAGACAAGATGGCCTCTGAGATCTCTTCCAGTTCCATGAACTTTGCTGCAGCTTCAGTTCCTTCAGTTCATTTGCATCTTCCTTCACTCTGTTACTTAAGTGCACTTGAGATAAGTCCTATTGATATGATTCTGTGTATCACTGCAGCACAAGTCTTATGTGTGTTCTTTTACTTACAAGGACATGACTTTCTTAACAATTAGAAAACTACACAGAAAAAGAATCTTCATGCAAGCAAATCAAAACTGAGTGTTTTCTTCCATCTGCCCTTCCGTCCTTCCTTCCTTCCTTCCTTCCTTCCTTCCTTCCTTCCTTCCTTCCTTCCTTGTGCATTGCTCTATCAGTGCTCACTAGATAATACAGAACTCTGAAAGCTGGGAACAATTTCTGATAATGAAAATGTTGGAAGCAATTCTAGCTCACCTGTTGTCTTTTGAGACTGTGCCAGTGACATAGTTTTACAGTTCTTTTTGCATCTATATGAGCTGGGGGGTTTTGTAGATGGGTGGGGAAGAAGGAATTTTGGAATACTGAATTTTACAGCCCCTTCTGAACACTGTACTTTGTTAATTACATTTATAGTATGCTGAAATGCTGAAGCTCTTTGTGAGGTCCACAGCAGTTAAGACAATAAAATATAAATTACTTGTGTAGTATAGTCACAGAAGCCTGAGGGCAGAATTATACGTTCCCCAATTCTGTGACTTCATTCTTAGGATGTTCTTTCCCACACAATGCAGTCCCAGAGGCTGCCATTTAACACAGAAAGCTGACATGAAGGGAAGGGGCTCTTAAGACATCCTCTTACGTCCAACATCTGTAGCTGGCACCCTTGAGCAGCTGTGCTACTCTGTGCAGGGCCGAGACAGAACATTTTGCTGCCTGAGGCAAAGACAAGATGGCTTCCTTTCTCCCATTCCATGTAGAAATGGAAGTTGTTGGTTTCAGCACTGGTGATGGGGCAGTGGTCCTCCACTGTTCTTGAAGCCAGCAGACTAGCTTCTAGGGCACAGGAAGCCCATGTTGCACACACCTTCCTTTCCCTTCAACGGCTTGTTGATGTGAGTTGTTCCTCAGTGTCTGCTGATTGAGATGGATAGGGTTGGTCCTGACTTGGAGTCTTTGTGGGAAGTTAAAACAGTGGGAAAATATGTGAGGAAGGGGCAAAGAATCTCTTCTTTCCCTCAGACCATATTCATAAAAGCTGCATTGTGTAAAACTAAAGGTCCCTTCCCAAAGCTGTACAGAACCACATAAATGACTTAAATGCTAAGTTTGTTATCTATTTATGTAAAGCTGGAGATTTCTGCTAACCTTTCCTCTATCTGCAGCCTTCCATACCATATCTTTTACCATTCTGAAGGGTTCTTTAGTCCCCTGGAGAAAAATTTCAGGGGGGTGCAGTGAGAAGAGCAAGTTGGGAAACTTTAATTTCATGAACGTTGTTCTTTTGTGTTTCTTTTAAATACAACTGAGGCTAGTACATCATTTTTTGCCTATACATAGCCTCCTACTGGATGCAGTGTTAGCAGTTTCTGTTACTCTCTGGGTTTGCAAAACTGATGAGGTGTTTTAGAGTAGTGGGTAGTTTGCCAACAGCCTACTCTCACCAGGTTCAGATGATACAATAAGCTTTGACTTGAATATTCAAATAGGCTGCCTGTACGTCTTCAATGCATTGTGGCCTACATAAGCCAGGGCAGGCTGTAGTGCAAACCAGTCCCATGTGCATTATTGGAAGTGCAAGAAAACATGTTAAAATTGTCTTTCTTCCAAAGCAGAAAATATTTTTATGCACACAACCATCACCTATATTAAAATTAACAGATGTTGTGTTTTTTGGTAGTTTTTGTACGATGTAAATTTTTCAGTGCTTTTGCATATGTGGAAAACAATAAATATGTAATATACAAAAATCGTATAAACACCGCGGTAAAAGTACAAGAGCTTCCAAAAAGAAAATAGCAAACATATACAGAAAAATGGCAATGCAGATAAACAATACTATGGAGAAGCAAGTGTGTAAATTCTGTTTGTAAGTGCGTAGAAGCCACTGACTTGCACCACCAGGCATGTCCTGTGTTGGCCTTTTAGGAGGAAGTAATGAAATAGGAACTCTTCACACCTGAAATGCAGGAAAGTTTCACGATTATTTACTCCACCAAGATTATTCAGGGTTTGTTATATAAAGGTTTACAAGGATGATTATAAACTAAAACCAGCCTTATTATCAAGCTGCTGTTATAAAGCTTAGAAGTGAGATGGTGCCTGCTCCTTTGGGGACATGCATAGTTGCTTAGAGAGATATCAACTCCTCTTTGAACTCTTCTACAAAACTGTCTCTACTGGAAGGCTTAGAGGATGAATCTGACCTTCCCTGAGGCAATGTGACCATAGCAGTCAAGCTCTTCGTCAGCATCAACAGAGGGCTGGTGGGCACATTACTTTTGCCAAGGGTATCTATATCTCTACTGCAGGCAGGACATTGCATAAGTAGAGGCCACCCCATGATTAATTTCCTCCCTTCTGATACATGGCAATGGTCAATGCCAGTGGGAATAAGAAGGAACATTGTGTGAGGCCCTCAACTTATGGAATAAGTTCTTCATTATATGGTTGGGATATGCTGTAATGGATGGTCAGTGAGATGACTTACCACTAAATATTGCCTAACAGACAGTGGAACCAAAGATGTTTCTTTCTTTACCAGATTCTTATATATATATATAAGTGTATTTGTGCCTTTTAGAACCAAGTAAAGCTTGACCTTCTAGGCCTTCACTTCAAGGATTCAGTTATTCAAACACTCATGCTAACATTTTGTTTCTTCTCTGGGGTTTGGGATGTGCCAAAGCTCTACAGAATCCATCTTTCTGGTGTACACAGACTTCCTCTTGTACTTGGCCCTGTCTTGGAAAGCAAAGTGAGAGGAAGTTCGCAGATGCTTGAGGAACGAAGGTTGCCAGTAGCACATGACATGCAGTACAATCAACGGTTGCTGTGTGTGGTGTGGAGGGGGACACTACTTTGCAGCATTTGTGAGAGGCTCCATTCCTCGAATGCTCTGTGTGAATAGCCTTCTTCTGCATCATAGGCAGCAGAAGTGGTTGCATTTGCCAGGAAGTTACTCACAGACGTGTCAGAGTGGACTGGAATCCAGTGACTAGAACCCTGGAAATCAGGCAGATCCCCATCCCTAAACGTTCCCATATCCCTATTTGGGGTTGTATCCCCCTCCAGAGCCAGGATTAGAATCACTGCCTTTTTCTTTTCTTTTTTCTTTTTCTTTTTTGTGTGAATTGTCTTTATGTGCCATTCCATAGCCCCCCAGTATCCCAATTTCTTAATCAACCCAGCTGCTACCCAAAAGCAACATGAAAAATTTTCATTTGCACTTTTTGATGCTACAGCCATACTTCTCTAAGATACTTATCTACCTTGACTTCCTTGCTTGGGATCCTCTAACAGTACTTGCTCCAGACCCTTTGAGTTAACATAAGAAAAAGTCGTCTAATGTTTTTCATTAAAAAAGTCATGGTTCCACCAAAGATGGGAGCTATTAATTCAAGATTTAGCAAAGAGAACACAAGTCTTGAACGTACACGTTTGTTGGCCAGGTGCGAAGAAGAATCATCATGCAGCCGAGTCTTATTCTTCCCTTGAGAAGACTGCTCTCCTAAGATATGTAAAATGTATGTCCATTAGTAAGATATGAAAATGTAATCATGTTCAAGTATGCTATCTTAGCTGTAGGCCATTGCTGTTGGTGAAGAAAAGCTATAGAAATTACATATATCTAGAAAACATCAATGCAATATAATGTTGCAATAGGGTTGCAACATTACATGAAGCTGTGTAATGAGAAATGTATTCAGTTTACGCACCTCGTCTTAAAGACACAAGCTGAAATCAACATTCTAAGTGCACAGTCACTGCCAGCTTCAGGTCCTTGAGGCCTCTGGGCAAGATGCTGCCAGTGGGCTCCCTCCTTCAGTGATGCTACCTTCTCATCACCCCTGTCACTGGCTGCTATTGCTGCTCACCCTCTTTCTCACTGGTAGATTGGTTGGAAAAGGCAAGGAAAAGCCAGTGTACCTGCTGCTTCTTTTCCTCACCACTGCCATTGTGTAGGACAGAGTAAGGGTCAAGCGAACAAGCAGGTTGCAAGAGTGAAGGGAAGGACCGAGTCCTGTTGGGTACTCAGCATGTGCTCAGCCATGCCTACCCTTGAAGCTGTGCATGTATTTGCAGTCCTGGGGCTGAAACTTGTGGAAGGCATACTTCAGACTTGTTTGGTTTACTCCTGTCCCCTCTGCCTCAGAAGTCTGGTACATGAGATATATACTTCCAAGGATCTGGACAGACTATGGAAGTGGGCAGGAGACAACAGGATGGCGTTCAATGTGGATAAGTGCAAGGTCTTGCACTTGGGGCATAGGAATAGCTGACATAAGTACAGCTTAGGTGACAAGTGGCTGGAGAGCAGCACTTGTGAAAGGGACCTCGGGGTGCTGGTTGACTGCAGGCTAAACATGAGTCAGCAGTGTGATGCGTTGGTCAAGAGGGCAAATGCCACCCTTGGTTGCATAGCCAGAAGTGCGACTTCTAGATCAAGAGAGGTATTACTACCACTCTATATGACTCTGGTGCGCCCACAACTGGAGTATTGTGCTCAGTTTTGGGCCTCTCATTACAGAAAGGATATAGCCAGGTTGGAGTCAGTGCAGCGTAGGGCCACAAGGTTGGTGGCCGGTTTGCAAGGGATGCCGTATGAGACGAGATTGAGGGAACTGGGTCTCTTCAGCCTGGAGAAGAGGAGACTCAGATGGGATATGTTGGCAACATACAGATATGTGAGGGGATGTCACATGGAGAAGGATAGAGACCTGTTCTCCCCTGCAGAAGAAGGCAGGACGCACTCCGATGGAGCAAAGCTCAGGGAACCAAGGTTCCATTTAGATGCCAGGAAGCATTTCCTGACAGTTAGGACCCCGAGGGTGTGGAATGGGCTTCCACGAGAGGTCGTTGAGGCCCCATCGGTGCGGGTGTTCAAAGATAGCCTGGACATGCACATGGTGGGCATGTTGTGAGCAGAGCCGGCTAGTGCTGGAGGTTAGACTAGATGGCCCGGGAGGCCCATTCTGACTCGCTCTGTTTCTATGTTTCTACTTAGAAGTAAAGAATTGTGAGGCCTGGTACTGGTTCTGGTTCTGAGTACCAGGCCTCAGAGGAGCTCATACCTTTCCACAGAAAAAAAATCACTAATCCAAGTTTTCGAATGTCAACAGTATAATTTAGGACATAGTTTAACTGTTGTTCTTAAATAATTGTGAGTCAGATCCTTGCTGACATACTGCAAATCACCCAGCAATCTTTCATTACATCTCAAGCTACCTTCCACCCACCCCTGTTATAACCAATGGGACTACTCACATTGGTTTGTAGCACTCCAAAGGCAATGGCATGTTTAAAGGTAAGTCATATGAAGAAAGGGCCAAGAAACGGGACATACCTATCCAGATGGAAAATAAATATTACTGGAGAAGGCCAATAGTTTAAAAAAGGCTTCCGCAAAAAAGCCCCTCTCTGGCTGAGAATGATGGGGACTGTAGTCCTGTACACTGCAAGGGGGCTGGATTGGGGAAGATTTGTTTAAACCATCTAGGAGCTGAAAAATGTAATTAAAAGACTACTAAGCTAAATATACTAGATCAATACCATCCAAATCTGCTTAGCCACAGCCATTGTACTAACATAAGATTGTTTTGCAAATGCCTGAAAGGACTCTTAATATATGCCTGCTGTAGCGGTTTTTCTCTAAACTAAAGGAAAAGAGGAAGGAGGGAGTATGGGGTGAGCTTTAAGGGGCAATGAGCAGTTCATTGTGTACCCTGATACAGGGATACAATGCAGGCATCCTTGGTGCCCCTAAACCAAAGAGGTCCAGGGCAATTAGCCTTATCTTATGCCAAAAAGCAACTATCCAAATCAGTGCAGAGATAACTTCTAACTTTCACAAAATGTGAAATATGAAGAAACAGAATCTGCACTGTGTTAAATAAATGAGCTGAAAGTTTGCACTTGCCCCTCATTCAATGTCTGTCTGCTATTATGAGCCACATTTTCATGGGTTCTTCATTTTCAGATCTCAAGGAGTTGGTCTCATTTCCTTTTGGAAGACATCAGTGAAGGTGAACGTGATGTACACGTATGAGAAAGAAATTTCCCGGAAAGATTTGGATGCAGACAAACCTTTACACTGAGGCCCTTTTAGTGAACAAATGGAGTGCTTCACAGGGCCCAAAATGCAACAGTGGATTCTATATTTATGGAAATGCGTATGGGCTGAAAATGTATTAAACTTTTTAAAATCCAACTGCAAAAAGTGTATAAAAGATGAATCAAATTAACTGAAGTGTGAGAAAGAATAGGAAAATAACATTCCTCAAGTGGTCATGAGTCAGAAGTCTTCCAAATATAGTATGCCTACAACATTGTTCAGTAATGAGTTTATTGAGCATTGTGCTCTGCAAAGGAAGAACTTATAGCTGAGATGGAAAATGTAGAAGCTCCCAGAGGCATTTGAAGCTCTGTTTCCCATTTGCTTAAAAAATGAGCCCTGCCAGTGTGATTCTCCTGTTGCTGTGAGTTAGAAAGAATTAAGAACTGTTGAGAACTCTGTTGCAGCGGTTTCCAAACTGTGTTTTGTTGAGCCCTGTTTTGGGTGTGTGTGAGGGAGGTTATCGAAGATTTTAGTGGAAAGATTGCCCAGTAAAACAGATCTTTCTCTGTGATCCTAAGAACACAAGAACATAGAAGAGCTGCTGTGGTTCAGCTCAAGGTTCATCTGGTCCAGCATTATCTTCATGTAATGGCCAGTCAACAGCTGGCTGCCTGAGAGCAACTTCCAAGCAGGACATCAGTAGAACCATATTCTCCCATAGGCTGCCCCTGAAGAATGCTATGCATATCTGCTAGGCATATGTGGAATGTGTGGTTTCAGTTTACATTGTTTATGAGGATCAACAGCTTGGTAAAATGTGAATGTTTAATATAAAAAAAACCCCACATTTTAATAAGCCTAATATTGACTTCTTCTTGGTTCCCAGCAGGGTAGCCACTTGTGCTTCATTAATGGAAAGAAGAGAAGAGATTGCACTTGCTAATTTATAAAAGGTAAAGGTAAAGGTTTCCCTTTCACATTAAAGTCCAGTCATGCCTGACTCTAGGGGGTGGTGCTCATCTCCATTTCCTAGCCGAGGGAGCCATCGTTTGTCCGCAGACAGTCTCCGTGGTCATGTGGCCAGCATGACTAAACACCGAAGTGCACGGAACGCTGTTACCTGCCCACCGAAGTGGTACCTTTTCATCTTCTTGCATTTGCATGCTTTCGAACTACCAGGTTGGCAGAAGCTGGGACAGAGCAACGGGAACTCACCCCATTGTGCAGATTCGAACTGGCGACCTTTCGATCAACCAGCCCAGCAGCACAGCAGTTTAAACCACTGTGCCACCTGCAGTCCCTTGCTAATTTAGATATAAAAAATAGAAATTATTATGATAATGTGTATAGAAGAGAGCTGACCAACTCCATGGGCCCTTTTCAAGCCCCAGAGTCCATACCACCATGGACTAAAATCTGAGAGGCTACCCTAAAGCCATTAAAAAAATACCCCTCTCTTTCCATGTTGTCGGAAGCACTACAGGGTGACTTAAAGGTGAGATGGAGCTAAATTTGACCTTTAAGTTAGATTCAACCCCCTTGGGTTCCATAGCTTCCATCGAGTCCTAAAATAATCGAATGTAGTTTGCAAGGAAGCCATGTTGACCTTTTTGGTGCTCTGGGTGGCATATTTTGGTACAAATATTAATTTTGGGGAACAGCAAGGGTCAAATGTGGATCATGGGCCACATGTTGCTTCCTTCTCCTGCAGACAGTGGGGATGAAACACATCTCACGATGGTGTGACAGGTGAACTGTGTACCTGCCCAAGCTGCAGTCCTTTTGGTGGTGGGCAACTTCAAAACCTTTGCTGCTCTCACGTTTTGTGGCTCTTTATCATTAAACTGGACTGGCACCCTCAAATGGAGGGACACCATCAAACAGAGACCTGTTCCTGGACCAGTCTAGTTCCCAGCATGTTCAGTAATAAGCAAGCAATGACTTACCAATCTCTGGAGAAGTTGTCTTAACCGAAATAAGCTTCACATTCTCTTTATCTAATGGGGCTCTGTAGGGAGACATTGAACTGTTGGTAAAGACTTATGTGAGAAAAGGAATGCAATTGTGAAAGAGGATACTGTAAGTCAGTCACTGATGAATCACGCCCCCCCCCCCCAAATAGAAATGAATTGCCAAAATAGAGGAGGAAAGATGACACAAATCTACCTAAAACCTGCAAATGTGAATTGGGAGATGATGGCCAGTATCGAATGCTGCTGTTTGAGGCTGCAGTAACGCAAGTCTCACCTAGAGTGATGCCAATAGTCTGTGCTGCTGTGACAAGTTCCCCTGTAAGAAGAACGGAATGAGCAGAATGGCTGCAGTGGACACGGCCCTATTTTGATACTTTAAGTAAAAATATGGTACATTGCACCATAGTGCATTTTCTGGGCCAGGTTCTCACTGTTGACGGGTGTAGCAGTTGCCCCAAAGCATAATAGTTCCTATGGTTCCTAATCTTTAAACTAGAACTGGACAGGACAATCCTTCAAAGAGGGAATACCTTCATACAGTGAATGGACATCTGGGAGCCCTTCAGATACAGATTCAGGCACAGTCCCAGCCTTTACCCTTCTCCCTTGCCCTCCTCCTCCCCTGCACCACCTTTCCTGCTGAAGCCCAAGCAAATTCCCGGTGCTGGGGCAGGGAGATGGCTCCGCCCCACCTCAGGCAAATGGTTTGCTTCCATGGTGGCAAAGGGCAGGTAGGACCTGTCTGTTGTTCCCATCGGCAGCCCGTTGTCTTTCCGTGTTTGGCAGGGGGGAAAGAAAGCCATTTTCCTCCACCAAGCACAGAAGCCTGTGCTTTGCACCTGAGCTGGGCAACGGAAGAAGATTTTCTTTTTCCCTGGTGGCATGGAAATGCACCGAGCCCCAAGGAACAGAGGGGCCTGTTCCTCTGTGGACTGAGCAGGATGTTTATGCAGAAGGCAGGTCCACAAAAATGGGATTCACTGGAGTCAACTGAGACTTTGCTCATTCTCTCTCTCTCTCTCTCGTTTTCTCCCATCACCTTGGACAGAAGTTTGGGGCGAAATGGGTATGTGAGGCAGAATGGTTTATTCCTTCCTTCCCAGAGTGCACTGGGCCTGATCTGAATCATACGAGAGTAAGCAAAGAGACACACCTCAGCAACATGCGACACAATTAGCGCAACATAGTTGAGCTCTTGGTGAGCTCAAAAAGAGGAAATCTAGCATGTTATTGTTTTTACAGATGATGTTTTGGTATCTGGGTCAGCAGCAGAGGAATGTGCCAAAACTCTCAAGGACATCCACCTGGATTTTATTAAGCCTAGGACTTAATAAAGAAAAATGCAACTTCTGCCCACACAAAATTGGATTTTTGGAAGAATATATAAATAAGGACAGAGTGTAAGCCCAGGTCTAGACAAGGTATGGTTTATTAGAGAACTGAAAACATATACGCCTGTTCCAGAACAGGCATATATTGGTGATAATAAATTTACTGAGATGCTGCCTTCTAAATTTGTTTACAGTGCTGAAGCCATTAAATGAGTAGGGGGAGAGAAATACTGCCTGAACAGGAGACTGTTTTTAGGGGAATGAAAGAAATCAATTCTCTCAGATGCCCCACCTTGAAATGACCTGAACAAATACAGTGGTTACTTATACATTGCCAAGAAAGGGGAAAAACATTGTCGCAAAAATGGAAAGGACAGAAGTGGAGATGTGGCACGGGATATGCACATACTAATTTATACATATAGATGCAACTTTGAGGAAATATAACTCTAATTTTAATAGAAATATAATACATATAACATTATTAATATTAATATGTCACTGGATTTAATGTGAAAGACCATGTTCAGGTGACTTGGACCTGCTCAGTCTGGTACTAAGGGGCAGCTTTGGGGTCTCAGCTCTCCCTTCTTATGGTTCTCTATCTTTCACCCCAAAATGGCTAAGCAGTGCTTCAAGGAGAAGCTGAGGGAGCGACAGCTCATGACATTGATTCTGAGACAGAGAGGGCAGCTGTAGAACCAGGGCCAGCCATGGGAAGCCAGATGCTTGAGAATTCAGGTCCAAAAGGCCTCACACCAGCGGGAGAGCCGGGAAGGGGCAAGACACAGACCACCTTCTGCAGGTGAGAGACCTGACTTGATGTAGCCCCGTGCTTCTCAACCAGGGATCTTTCCTAAGGGAGCAGGACAGCAGGGCAAGGTCTCTGCAGGAGAGGGTGTTTCTGGGATGTCTCCTTTGGTGCATGGTTGACTAAAGCAGGTGAGACAGAATGGTCTGGTGAGGCATAGCTAGCAGCTCTACTTATACTTAGGTACCTTCACAGAGTGCCAATACACTTTCTGAGTATACGGGTGCATGGGAACAGCCATTTCTGTTGACTAGCTTCCTTTAATACCTGACCCCAAATCTCCCCACCCTGATCAATGGGAAGACCCCAGGCCAGGCACTGTTTAACCACTTCCTCAAATTTGTCTCTGGAAAGGAAGTCACAAGCCAATGCTGCAGTTCCATTCCTCTGAACTTGAGGAAGGTGTAGAATTTTGTTTCTGATACAGGAAAGAAGGAAACTTCAAGGTATACTGAATTATTCTAGTGATTGAATGCTGTTGTTCATTTCCAAAATTGTAAATGAGACTGTGAGAGATCTTACAGAGACTGTGGTTATAAGATTCCTTTCCCCTGACCTGAAGGAGCAGGAAGGACAGAAAAAAAGAGAAACAACTTACTGTTCGGTTCCATTTTCTTGTCTCTCTAGAAGGAGAAGGAAATGCACATTATCTAAATGTTACAGCAGAATCTGTCACTGGGCAGGCTTTTCAGCTGGCCTTCTCCTTGAGCTTATTCTTTTACAAGGCAAGTTTGCTTCTTCACAGAAGCTCTGGATCAGCTGTTTAGGGCCCTTGGGCAAGGCTCGTTCAGTGAGCCCATCCTTCAAGAAATCTGCCTTCTCCCCAGTGGGTTGTTCTCTTCCTTGTTCTCTTTTTTATGCTCGCCACCACTTGCTTCTTTGACCGGCAGAAAACCAGTGAGCAGGTAAACCATGGCCTCTCCTGCTCTTCTCTTCATCTCCACCATTGTCTGGTTCAGAATGAGAGGTGAACAAGCAGAGCACAGGAGCAAAGATGAGGACCAAGCCCAGGGGACTCCTGTCAGTGTGGTCTGGGATGGTCAGCCTTGCCTAATCTTGATGCTACCACACAACCATTCTCCACATTCAGCAGTAGGGAACAAATTGCTTGTCGGGGTCACACATAAGAACATTTTGGAGCAGTACAAACATCCAGCTATGCTACCACCTCTGCCCAGAAGATTTCAGTCTGTTCCATTGTGCCAAAAAGCTATTCGTATAAAGGGTATCAAATGAGGATACCCACAGAAAACTCGACTAAACCTTTGTCAGTGAAGCATGGAAGAGGCTCAGCAATCTCTCACTAATTCAAGAAGCTGTGGATGGACTTTACATAAGTGAAGCCATGATGGATCAGACCAAAGGTCCATCCAGTCCAGCATTTTGTACACACAGTGCCAACCGGATGCCCACAGGATTGTTCAAGCAGGGTGGGTATGAGACCTCCTGGGATTTTCTTATCTTCCTAAGTAAGATGTCCTAGCAGATTGTTTATAGAGGAGGAGTGTAAACTGTGGCCCTGAAGCCTAATTTCACTGCACCCTGCCTTGCAGGAGATCTGTTTGAGTCATCTGGCCAGCCTCTGGCAGATGACTGCATGCGAAGAAGGCAGGGGGACAGAACTATTGGAAAGGCAGGGGGAAAAGGCAGTGAGAGAGAGAAGGGAGAAGCCCTGCTTTGCCCACCCTCCACTGCAGGCAGACCTGGCTGCCACTAGCAAGTGCCCCTTGAAATATTATCCATGAGGGCCTATGGCAGCAAAAAGGGTTTAGCACCCTTGTTTAGAGTGTACTTAAACAGAATTAGCAGAGCAGGGCTGAGATGCAGCTAAACAAGCAGGTGTTGTTGGACTGGGGAATGCTGGGAGTGGTAGGATTGTCCAAAGAGCAAAATAAGCATTCAAAACTACAGCACATTGCACATCAAAATTTAAAACAAGGCAACCACATACAAAAATCCCAGGCAGTTAAAAATATTCTGTCACATATTTCTATCATAGCTGAAATTATGATGAAGTCTAATTAAAAGCATTTTTAAAGAAAATTGAACAACTGTGTGTGTGTGTCTAGCTGTTTTAAAGCAGATTGCATACCTGGTGCTGTCTTGAAGCACATTCTGTACAAAGCCATCAGAAGGAAAACAGTGAAGGTTATTACGATCAAGGCAATAATGACTGGCAAAATAATACCTGCACGTCATGGAGAAAATTATTTTAGTTCAAACATGCTGCCAATTCACCATTCTTTAAATGAAATGAAAGAAAATAAAAGCATCTGTTTTGATGTTCTTTCTGATCACTCACATCAGTACACACACTGGTAGTGGCCAAATGCGTCTAATTTGTCAGGGTCTCTATTTTCCAGTGCAGCCACTAGGTGACAGCCTTACAACCATAATGAAAGAGAATAAGCGCCTGCCTTCTTCACCGGCATTGGAAGACTTTGGCAGTGAATAGCTGTGTTTTACCAGGAATCCTGCTTCTGTCTAAACACCTTTGTGTCAGACGGTAACGCAGGCATAGGCAAATCTTTGCCCACCAGTTCTTTTGGACTACAACTCCCACAGACCCTGTCTATTGCTCACATTGGCTGGGGCTGATGAGACTTGCAGTCTGAAACATTTGGAGGGACCAGGAAACTCACCACTGCCTTAACACTTTTCCCCATGGGAATTAAAAAGAGAATAATCATGAAAAATGGCCACTAGAAACAGCAAAGTTCCAATATTTGTGAACAGTCTGTGAGTGTGTGTATAACCAGCTTTATTCAACTTGGTGTCCTATAGCTGCTGTGTACAATGAATCCCATCACCCAAAACATTGGCCATTAAGGAGGGGGTTGATAGGAGTTGCAGTCCAAAACATCGAGAAGGTCCCTGCTGGCCAAGGCACCAACATGATTCTAGCAGGATTTATTCTTTTTTTATTGGCATTCCCAAACAGTACTGGTTGCAGGAATGGAACATCACTGTAATTTGGTTAAAATATGGGTCATGTTGTATTAATCCCTTGATTTTCAAATGTTCCGTATTGATCATCAATTCATCACCAACTGATGATTTGATGTTTAAATTCTGAAATTATTTTAAGCTCATTGCTTATTTTTCAAATTACTGTCCTTTGACACACTGTATTCTACATAAGCGTGGCATTAGTCACTTTGGCCTTCCTTTTTAAGGGAAAACAGAAATATAAGTAAATATTGGTGGCAGTGCTGGTACTTGACTAAGCTCAAGTATCTTTTATACGTAACAAGCATCCCTGCGACCATGGGCTTTGTCAGCATTCAGAAGGGGGATCTTCATTCTGATTGCTCTGACAGTGCCCTGCTGTGGAAAGAACCATGGTGGCTGCTTCCTGCGATCTGCCTCACAACTCTGAGGAGAGGAAAAAGGGGGCATTTCAGTGGGGAGGACAGAGAGAAGGTCAGGATCTGCTGTACTGCTGTGACCTCTCCAGCTCAGAGCCCTGTCTAGAGGAAACCATTTAAAAAGACAATGGAGAGTTGAAAATCACTGGTGTCCAGCCTCTTGCCTGCCAGGAACAGCCCAGCTGGGTGCAAGATATGCAGGAGCTTTGCAAGTGATCTCTAACAGAGATTGTGCTTTAAGTCATAGGATTTCTCTTAATTGTGTGGATGTGCTGTGCTTATTTTCATGTATTGCCCTGAGAGTGTAGCTCCCAAATATCTTAGACAGAGTGGTTTGTAGCGAACACCGTGAAGGTTTTGTGCACTGGATTCCTTGCCTTGAATGATTCTTTTATTGTGACTGGGCATGAATATTTCTATATCTGTTCCCTGTAAGGTGACATGATTCAAGTTTTTCATTTCTATTGCATTGACCTCAATCCTTAGGAAGAATTGTGGAGCTCAAAGGTGAAACCCGTCTCCATCCT